AGAGAGAGAGAGAGAGAGAGAGAGAGAGAGAATTTTAATATTTATTTTTTAGTTATTGGCGGACACAACATCTTTGTTTTGTATGTGGTGCTGAGGATCGAACCCAGGCTGCATGCATGCCAGGCGAGCGCGCAACCACTTGAGCCACATCCCTAGCCCAATATCTAACTTTATTAATCAAGAAGCACAAATTAAAACAATAAGTTGTCCCATCTGGTACACTTTTAAAATGGATGGACACCTTCTCTCATATCACTGTAAATATAAAATGTAACACAATATTTCAACAAAAATTTGGAAATGTACATTTAAAATCTTAAAATACGCATTCTCTTTTGAGCCAATAATCACTTCTAACACTGACCACCTCATTTCTATTCTAAAAAAAAAAGCATGAGGGATGTGAGTGAAGGTAAGCATCTTTAATGGTGAAAAATTAAAAAGTACTTAAATATTTGAAATTAGGAATTTCATACATTATGATAAATCAAGCATCAGGATTCCATGTAACTACTTAGAGAATTGTGTTTTACATATTGATTATAGAGAAATAGTCATGACGTGTTGTTAGGCAAGAAAAGGAGGTACAAATAGTAGATACAGTGTAGTCTGTTTTTGTGAGATAGATTAGATAGATAAATACAGAAGGAAGCTAGGCCCAGAAGCCCACACCTATAATCTTAGCCACTCAGGAGGCTGAGAAGGAGGATCACAAGTTCAAGGCCAGACTGGGCAACTCAGAGTGAACCTGTCTCAAAATTTAAAAAGGGGCTGAAGATGTAGTGGTAGAGTGGCCCTGCGTTCAGTCCAGAGAAGGAAAATAGGAAGGAGAAAGGATGTTCAAATGACCAAGGGATGTCTATGTCTACCCAGCATCCATTCCCCACTCCCTAGTTCCCAGGAGAACCCAGGTTTCCATGTTTCCATGGGTCCTCCCTTCACCATGTAAGTGAATCCCACCAGAGTGGACCCTGACTTAGGCCCATTGGCCCATTCCATTTCCCTGATCACAAGCCATTGGTTCATGAATGATCAGGCCATCTGGGCTGGGCCAATCAGGTGATGACTTGGAATCCTGAAGGGAAACTTCTTTTTATGTCTGACCCCATATCCGGGGCTGGGAAGCATATAACTCAAGGATCTTGGGCCGACTTAAAATGCAGCTGACACTAGGGGAGTTTAAATAGAGAAAGCGAAAGAAAGATAATCAATCTAACCAACCCAAAGCCAGAATGGATGCTGGGCAAACCCAAATAATAAATATAATGACATAGCGGAGGGCATTCAGACAGCTTGGGCTTAGATCCTGGACCTGCCACTGTTTAACTGGATCACTTTGGTAAATGTAGCCTTTCTGAACCTCACTCTCCTAACATCAAAACTGTAGATAATAGCAAGGCACAGAAGTGCACACCTATAATCCCAGTGACTCAAGAGGCTAAGGCAAGAGGATGGAGAGTTTGAGGACAAACTCTGCAATTCAACAAGACCCTGTCTCAAAATAAAATTTAAAAAGGCCTAGGGAGCCAGGCACAATGGTGCACACCTATGATCCCAGCAGCTGGGGAGGCTGAGGCAAGAGGATTGTGAGTTCAAAGCCAGCTCAGCAAAAGCAAGGTGCTAAGCAACTCAGTGAGACCTTGTCTCTAAATAAAATGTAAAATAGGGCTGCTAGGGATGTTGCTCAGAGGTTGAGTACCCCTGAGTTCAATCCCTAATACTAAAAAAAAGGCCTGGGGAATGTGGCTCAGTGATTAAAACTAAATAAATAAAATGGGGATAGTAAAGGTACTTCCTCCTTGGGTGACCAGAGGAAGAGATGAGATAATAGGTATAACACTGTGTCTGGCTCCAGAAACTGCCGGACATGCCTGGTTTTGTGTAACAAAACACCTCTTGCATGCTATTTCAGAGTCTTGGCCCCACATATCTCTTAATTCACTCCAACCAGTTCCTAAAGCACCAAACTCAGGCCCACGTTGGTCTTTCTTCTCTGTTTTCTCTGATGTTCTTGCTCAGAGTTTATACTAGCAAGACCCAGAAATGCAGGTTTGAACAGCCTGTGGATAAGTATTTCCCCCACCCCTCCCACTGAAAGGTCCCAGCATGTATTTCACACAGTGCAGGGCTCTGTGTGGGCTGGGAATTAAAACCAGCACTTTGGCTGGGCATAGTGGCACACACCTGTAATCCCAGCAAATCAGGAGGCTGAGTCAGGAGAATTGAGAGTTCAAAGCCAGCCTCAGCAATTTAGTGAGGTCCTAAGCCACTTAGTGAGACTCTGATTCTAATAAATATAAAAAGGCCTGAGGATGTGGGGCTCAGTGGTAAAGTTCTCCTGGGTTCAATCTCTGTAATAAAAATTTAAAAAAAAAAAAAAAGCATGCTAAGTTTTGAGGGGTCAACCAGTTGCCCCCAGCAATGGTCACATCATATTCGCTCCCCTAGGCCCCTGTCCCTCATCTCAGCTCTCCCTTTCAGTTTCTTCTTTCTAGGATACCCAGACAGAGCTCAGAATACCTCTAGATAGGCACGTTGTTGTGGTTGGTTCTTCTTTTTCTTCCTTTCCCTTATCTTTTATTTATTTATTTATTTTAATGCAGAACCAGGGGTTGAACCCAAGGCTGTGGGCAGCAGTCCTCCTGCAGGACTCTGTCCCTGAGCTCCACCCCCCAGCCTCCCCTCAGCTCGGTTTTCTAATTAGTCTTACAAAGCACACATCTGCATCTCCTGATTTTTAAGTCTCTCTCCCCCTCAAGCCTATAATCACGTCTTCAAAGTAAATTGACCTTTGTTATAAAAGTAACATGAAATGAGGGTTAGAGATGTGATATTAATCTTTGCCAGCCAAAAAAAAAAAAAAATGCCCAACATGGAGTTCTCGCAGCAAGTGGGGGACGACGATGGAAAATAGGAGAGGAAGAGCCTAGTTATTCTCCCTGGTTGGTCCTGGATGTGCCACAGCGGCTCTGAGGCCAGTTTCTCAGAGGAGGCAGAGAGGGAGGAAGGGCGTCTTGCTTTCCTTTGTTCTCCAGACTGGCTCCCTGGGGTGGGAATGAGGAGCAGGGCCCCTTCTGTTCCCGGCGGCCTTCTGTTCAGCCAAGGTGCTAACTGGTTGACAGGCCCCAGTAAAGGTTGACTGGTTGACAGACTCAGAGGGGGACCCGAGGAGTGACAAACTGGGTGTGAAGGCCCCTCGCAGAGGTGGAGCGAGCCTTTTGCCTGTGGCCCAGAAGGCACTTGGAACCGGACACTGAAGGGCAGCTCTGTGTTCAGGAGCAGGGAGGCACCTCAAGGGGCTCAGAATTAAAAAGCAGGGGCCTCTGCTGAAGACTGTGCATGTCACTGAGTGGAACTGGGGCCCTGGTGCGTTCGCGCCTGCCCACCAGCTGAGAACCAAAGCCCCATGCCGGCCTCTGGCCTTTCCCTGTCCTGCCATGTCTGTGCGTCTGAGTGGCAGAGAGGAGCCCACAGCCACGGCCCGGGCTGGAGTGGAGGTGTTCCAACAGCACGGAAACTGGACAGGGTGTCCCAGAATCTGATGGCAAGGTCACCCTCTAAATCAAGCAGGTAAAACCTCATAAATCAAAAATGATGAGAGAGGCCCCAGGAGTCCTGGCTCCTTGGGCATAACACCCACATGGAGGACTTTCTGTTTTTTAATTCTTACTAATTACATTTT